TTGCAGTGTAGTGTGTTGAGAAAAAGAGCTCTGTTGAGTCCTGCTAGTTCAAAAATATATCGTCTACGAATGAAGAAACAAAATTCTCCAAACAGAGAGGAAGCCTTCTTGCTGCCGACACGGCGACAGCGACTGTCACAAGGACTCGTCAGGTGCGATCAGCTGATTCGCCTGGCCGTGAGAATCACGGCATGCGAAAGCTCGCGCCTGAGTACTCATCTGAGCGAGAGTGAATCTGACGCGAGCAGCGCTGAGATGAACAAACCGAAACTGCGATATTGTGGAATGGGAATTGCTGCTGCTGGCGTATCGCCGATGGCGAGGTGTTGGTGTTCAATGGCGGTATTCTAGAGAGCCTACATTTCTTGTAAAGACATAGCCCTTACCTGATTGTTTATCGTACGACTTCAGCTCCATCACGAACTTGGTATACCCTTCGTGCTGTGATATTCATGTATTTCATTTGCAATTGTATTTTCTCTCAGCTTGAAGGGCTACCATGGGCCCTATCCTTGCCTGGACCTAGTCATATTTGAATTTTCTGGAAGCGTTCAGGCATACAGATTTTGAAAATATATGGTTTACCCATACTGTAAATATACAAATTTTCGGCAGCTATTTAATTTCGGCTATATTCGGCACCGACCCAAAACGCCTAAATTAAAACGCCGATGAAATTTTTCACAGCATCTGTCGCACTATACCATGCCCTCTACCGCCGAAAATAAATCGCCGCCGAAATGTCAAAAATCGTGAAGTGCCGAAATTTTGCAGCGCCGAAATTTTGTATATTTACAGTACCTACATCACATGGTTCTTGAGTTATTGCTGGTTGTGTGTACATGTATTTGCGTGACCACCCCTCACATACATTGAGTTAGACCGGCAAAGAGTTAAAATTAAGATTAACATTGCACCAAATTTTCGGGCCTAGCCCATCATGAGGGTAATGAACCCCTGATGGTGGGGTAATGAACCCCTGATGGTGGGGTAATGAACCCCTGATGGTGGGGTAATGAACCCCTGATGGTGGGGTAATGAACCCCTGATGGTGGGGTAATGAACCCCTGATGGTGGGGTAATGAACCCCTGATGGTGGGGTAATGAACCCCTGATGGTGGGGTAATGAACCCCTGATAGTGGGGTAATGAACCCCTGATGGTGGGGTAATGAACCCCTGATGGTGGGGTAATGAACCCCTGATGGTGGGGTAATGAACCCCTGATGGTGGGGTAATGAACCCCTGATGGTGGGGTAATGAACCCCTGATGGTGGGGTAATGAACCCCTGATGGTGGGGTAATGAACCCCTGATGGTGGGCCAGGCCCGAAAGCTTGGTGTAATGTTTATCTTAATTATAATCTGCATCGCAGTGAAGAGACCGTTTTGGAGTTGAGAGGTGAAGTTTAAAGACACAAAATGTTAGAATAAGTTATGCATACCTGGGCAGATTGCTCCGGAGCCAATATATTCATCTGCAAGAACATCATAGAAAAAGAACAGTGCACGATAAAAGGCCAGGCATACCGCTTCCATATCATTCGCACATCTGATATTTTAAAAATGTACTCAAACAACCGTTTCGCATCTCTCTTCTTTGGAGGCTTTGTCTTCTATCCTTTGTGTTTAGCTGTCATAGCAAAGCAGCAAAGCTGATAGCTTAGCCTTTCTGTTTCCAAAACACAGCAACAAACATTCAACAACCTGTTGAATGCCGAATACTGCTGCTGCCGCTGCCGCGGCTGTGGTGGTGGTGGTAGTGGTACGTCATCTTTATTGTTTCATCCACAATATGTGATATAGAAAGTGAAGAACTATTTGACGTAAACAGCCATCGTAAATATGAACAAGGTTAATATACCATGTCAGCCAGCTATTATTAAGTCATGTATCAACCCACAAAGGTGGTGGTGGTGGTGGTGGCGGCGGCGGCGGTGGTGCTGGTGCTGGTGGTGCTGCTTGTGGTAGTGGTGCTAGTGGTGAAATGAGCAGCCCGGCTGATGAGCAACTCACAGTACAGGGTGGACTGTGGTATAAATATGTGATGGAGATAGCGGCTGATGAACATGTGATGGAGATAGCGGCTGATGAACATGTGATGGAGATAGCGGCTAATGAACATGTGGTGGAGGTAGCGGCTAATGAACATGTGGTGGAGGTAGCGGCTGATGAACATGTGGTGGAGGTAGAGGCTGATGAACATGTGATGGAGGTAGAGGCTGATGAACATGTGGTGGTGGTAGAGGCTGATGAACATGTGATGGAGGTAGAGGCTGATGAACATGTGATGGAGGTAGAGGCTGATGAACATGTGGCGGAGATAAAGGCTGATGAACATGTGGTGGAGGTAGAGGCTGATGAACATGTGGTGGAGGTAGAGGCTGATGAACATGTGGTGGAGATAAAGGCTGATGAACATGTGATGGAGGTAGAGGCTGATGAACATGTGATGGAGATAGAGGCTGATGAACATGTGATGGAGGTTGAGGATGATGAACAGGGAAGAGAAGAGAAGAAAGACAAAGAGATACCCGAATTCAAAGTGCTTTAACCCTTTGAGACCCCACTGAAAGTACGAAAATTTACGCACCTTCAAATGACATGCACTTTCGCTCGTATCTCTATGAAACATTCACCGATTTTTACACACTAACCACCGTTGGAAAGGTATTTCCAAGACGAAGAGAATAGTGCCACACTCAAGCCAATTACCTGCACAGCCTCTGCTCCGCGTGGCCTATAATGCCGCCCAAAACAGCAGCCGTGCGCGAACAGCTTCAGCAAAGTTCAAACAGCCGCCATTCCATTCTCCTTCATCGCATTGACTTCAAATAAACTACAGCGGAAAGCTCGTTTCAAGCGCAAAATCTTGGTGTGCAGCATGCTTGAGTATGACGTACCATTCCGGGGAAATCTCATGCCAAGTGCAGCGTGAAAATTTGATTTTTTCGATCTGAGTGCATTTTTCAGTTTGTCTCGGACTTCGAGTCTCACCACCGCGGCATCGTAACTCCTAGAGACTTCGGATAACTTCGACATGATAGCCAAGGGTCTTCTCGAAACGTAGATACTTTGTTTTTGAAAATCGGTGAAGGAACACCAGAGATATAATTATTTTAGTGTCACTGTATACCAAACGATCGAATTCGATCGTTGGGGTCTCAAAGGGTTAAATGTAGCAACAAACCAGGACTGTAGTGATGATCACTTACCGCAGAGGACACCGGAATTATAACAGTTTTGCTGTCCAACAGAAAGTGGACATTTTATCACACTAAGTTCACTCCCCGTACAAAGTACATTGTCGAATGTCGACACAGTATAGCTTGACTGAAATGTTGTTATTGCATTCAGAGCGCGTTTGAAGCTGTTAAAAAGAGGGCCACAAAGGACAGACAGGCAGGCAGACATACAGTCAGGCAGGCAGACAGACAGACAGACAGACAGACAGGCAGGCAGGCAGGCAGGCAGGCAGGCAGGCAGGCAGGCAGGCAGGCAGACAGACAGACAGACAGACAGACAGACAGACAGACAGACAAACAGACAGACAGACAGGCACACAGACAGTCAGGCAGGCAGGCAGACAGGAAGGCAATTGAGACCACCAGGAGTCCATTTCGGGACGCTCCCACGCTCACTCATACCCAGTTGCCTTTCTTGTTGTGCTTTCCTTACTTGCTTCATTCTCAAATTGTTGCAAGTTGTCTCCTCATGGCGGATTTATTTCCCCACCTCTCCCTCCCATATTATTACAATTCTCACACTACTAGCATTTTCATCAATTTGCTAACACTCCTCCACTATACAGTTTAACTTGGCGTATAACGACACTCGGCGGCGGGGCATCAGAAAAGTGTCCTTATCCGCGAAGTGTCGTTTTACCACCCATCGCCGTCTACGTGTTCGTGCCGGCGACGCCTTCAGTGAGTGGCAAGCCATACCAGCAGAGGTGCCCCAAGGATCCGTTCTAGGCCCCCTGCTGTTCTTGATCTACACCATTGACCTGCCCTCTGCCTGTACCAACTCGAACACAAAGTGCAGCCAATTTGTAGATGACACGGCGCTCATCGCAACACACCCGAGCCGTGTGACATCGGAGTTGTCCCTGCAGTCAGCCGTTTCAGCTGCCGCAGCCTGGCTGCGCAGATGGCACCTCCTCGTCAATGCCTCAAAGACCGTTACCTTGTCGTTCACACCAAACCACCAACTCAACATCACTCTTAACGACACACCCCTACAGCAAGTCAACGAACACCGTCACCTTGGAATCATACTACAAAACAACCTCCAATGGAACTCACATGTCACGCACATAATAAACAAATCCAAAAAACTCCTTCACCAACTTCGTAAAACACGAGGCCACCTTAACACCCCAGTCTGCTCGTAATCTACACCGCCTACATTCGCCCGGTTATAGAGTACGGCAGTCTCGTGTTATCCAACACCACCCGCACACAGAAGGACCAATTAGAACGCGTTGAGCGACGAGCAGCCCGTATCTGCTTGCGGATCCCCCTTTTTGCACCAGTCCATCACAGTTCACTTCTTCATCATATCCAACTTCCCATATTAGTTTCCCAGCAACTCTTACGATATGTTACTCTTGCCCACAACATCAAGTACATCCGCGCTCCCCTTCACCTGCAACAGCCTCACCTTGCACGACCAATCACAGAACAGCCATATGCACAACGACACATGAGAACATACACATTGAGAACATCACACACATACCGACACACCAACTCACCCATCAACCTGTCCCTTCACAATTTCAACCAACTACCCCCCAACCTGCGTGAAACAAATAGCAAGCATGCGTTGAAATCAATGGCGTCTAGCCTCATTCTATCATCCATACGCTCCTGTAGTAGCTCACACTGCACCCCATCGTAACCCCACCCCCTGCAATGTGTTGGTTTCCTTACTTGCTAGACTGATTTTTTATGATTCTGGACTGATTTCAATCATATTATCTTCCTTATCGGCCATGGGCCATCGTGGAAATAAAGAATAATAATACCCGAAGTCCCATTATATGCATACAGGTAGAATGGACTTTGCTCTGGGCATGGACATTCTGTCGTTATTCGCGAATTGTCGTTATATCCGCAGTCGTTATTAGCGAAGTTGACTGTAATCAATCTACAAATAAAGTAGGGAGCAGGGCCTTTCACTCTCCAGAACTAGCCTCTCCTACCTTCATGAGCAAATTCCGATGCCTCCGGGCTTTGGCATCACACCCAACCAAGAGTACATAACCCCCCAGAGTGTGCAACACCTGATTCAGCTCTGCATAGGGTCTTGGTCGAGCGTAATTGGATCTTATGATGTCATAATACCGTACACATCTGAAGGGAACCCGGGCAGTCGCGGTGACTCTCGGATCAAAAACAACGCTGCCCCGTCTCAAGATCGGCCTTGTGCTGGTTTGGAGTGTACGCATGACATCATAAGATCCGATGACGCTCGACCAAGACCCTATGCAGAGCTGGATCAGGTGTTGCACACTCTGGGGGGTGGTGTGTAGTCTTGATGACCCTATGCAGAGCTGGATCAGGCGTTGCACACTCTGGGGGGTTATGTACTCTTGATGACCCTATGCACAGCTGGATCAGGTGTTGCACACTCTGGGGGTTATGTACTCTTGATGACCCTATGCAGAGCTGGATCAGGTGTTGCACACTCTGGGGGGTTATGTACTCTTCACCCAACACATAGCCGCACTCACATGCTTTCGTTACGCCTCCTTGCTTGAGTATCACACCCAACAAAAGCACCCTCAGGCTCTAGTTACTCCGCTCTCACTTCCCTAAGCCAACCACATACTACCACTGTCTGTTGTGCGCGTGCTTCCATATCATCATGTTATTAACTGCAGACAATGGGAACCATTGGGGTGGAACAGTGTGGAATTAACACTACCATGATAACACCATACAGTATTGTGGAAAAAGGAAGAAATTAAAAAGAAGCAAAAATCCACACGGAGACAACACTTTAAAAATAGCAATAAAGAGAACAAATTCTCCTGTCATCGCCACACTACAACAAAGTCATGAAAGCTTTCCAAAATCGATTTTTCCTGTCACAATCATCAGTGGAATGTCGTGACTGAAGAGTGTCCATGCTGAACAGGACATACACCATTTACCCGACAACGCTTCAAGAAGATCATATTACATGAAATGTCACTAGTCAAGTAGCGTTTGCGCAGAGCATCATTCAGGATCTCGACCTGACTCCCAGAGCATCATTCAGGATCTCGACCTGACTCCCAGAGCATCATTCAGGATCTCGACCTGACTCCTAGAGCATCTCCGTTTAAAATACGCAAATAATCGACGCGACAGGAAAATCGATTTTTGGAAAGCTTTCATGACTTTGTTGTAGTGTGGCGATGACAGGGGATTTTGTTCTCTTTATTGCTGTTTTAAAATTGTTGTCTCCGCGTCGATTATTATTTGCCTGTTTCTGGCATCCCATCACTGAAGTACTCTGCACACAGCATACTATAGGATGATAAAGTACTAATTTCTGTACTCTCCCTCATACTGTAGCAGTCATGTGACCCTGGATACACAGTACCTCAGATATGAAGTACAATTTTACGGCCCCTAGTTGCCTTTCTGTATGAAAAGAACTCCTGTGGTGTCAAGGCAGCTGTGGTGCACAGATGAAGTCGGGTAGGGATAAGCTTTCACATTCACCAACCTGGCTACTCTGTCGCAGCCGTCTTCTCATTGTTTTCGTTGGTCTATTTCATGTTCTCCCTTTGTCCCTTTCCTGGTGGAGCATTGCTATGTTAACCCTTTCCATGCTGGCCTGCTTTTCCCAATAAACTGGCACTCCAGCGCACGGACTCTCCTGGTGGAGTTTGGGCGCGCTGACCCGAACGACATTTATTCTCATTTCAGTTCACCTGGATGGCATTTCATCATCTAGGGCTTGTTGGAAAGATCAGGACCGAGTGAATCCATCCTGGAAGCTCTTAGGTTCATAGCCCCACCAGGGCCACTTCCACGACCTCTCCAAACTGGCCCACCACGCCTTGGACCGAAACAACAACTCAGTCACATAATCTTTTCAGCTCCGTGCTCAAATTCAAATGATTTTCATGATTCAAACTGCTCTGCAAAGCTGAGATCCACGCGCTTCATTTGATGTCCATAAATGCATGCGCTGGGTGAAAGGGAAACCCCCTGCGAACTCAAGAACAAAAAATGATGTGATCGCTACGGGCCGTGATTTCTGTGATCACTCTATCATAGCTCAGTCAAACTTTATCCTAGCGCTAAGAAATTTGTATTTCTAAAAAGCTGACCTCAAGACCTTTCCAACTGTGTGTTGTTTTGGGGACAGCGTAACGGACATTTGTACAGTGGTCTATTCACCGCGATTCACAATGCAAACCATAGCGCTTGGAAATCAGGGAGGGGATGAATAGCGTGAAAACATGTCATCCGCACGCAAAGGGTTAATGAAGTGGAAAACTCG